GTTGCAGATCTTACGGATGAAGAAGGCACCTCCAAATTCCTGGATTTAATTCCTTGTAATAAAATCTTGAATTTTGAAGGGCTTCACCGGCCTCTTCTGGCTGTGCAGGTAAATGCTTCAATGCTCCATAAATGAATTTTAAGTTATACTCCCTCCGTTCACTTTTACTTGACACGTTTTGACTTTTCACGTCCTTCACTTTTACTTGACACGTTTTGACTTTTCACGCCCCTTAAACAATAATAAATGAAGTGCATGATTTATCATGATACTCATATTAATTGATGTATATTTTATTGAATTTGAGAAAATGATTTGAGATGAGTAATAAATATTGTAAGTATAAGTAGAAAAAAAAATTGTCGCGCAAAGTGACAAATACATGCCAAGTAAAAGTGAACGGAGGAAGTATATACATTTTACGTGATTGTTGTAATTTAAAGTAATTCGATTGTATTAATACTGTTAGTGTGACACTCATAATTTATTATTGGCTATTCTTCAGAATGAGTTTCAGCTATTCATATGCTTACGTACATTTAATGCCCATAGAGGTTTGGCGGTGGCACAGAAACTAGAAATGTTGTATCGAGTTTATTTCTGATCAGGATGTTAATTTTAGGAAAGATCCACAACTTTTACTACAAAAGGAAATGATACTGTATCACAATCATTTTAAAGTTCCAAGCATAAGCCAGTCGATGTGCTAATACTCCAATCTTGCTTATAAACAAATTAAATCGTTTAGCTACATCGTGGTGTTAGGGTTGGTATTCAATTAAGACAAAGATCACTTAATTAATGTGATGATAAGTTGAACAATTTATCCATAATATCATGATGGTTCCTATTGGGGGAAAACAACTTTTTTTAAATTGAAAATAAGACCACAAATTAAATGTCTAACGACATTCACAACTAAGTTTTATCCACTGATATATATTCTTAGTGTAATCTGACTAACTCTTAAAGTATAAATCTTCTATCCTTTTTTCAGAATTACCAATTTTGTGTAGATGCTGCATTTAGTAAATAAACTTAAAATGATCTTTATTGTATGAATATTTTCTTTACATTAAAGTTCATTTGAAAAAGACGCAGAATAGCAATTAATTTGTTGGACCCGTTGATGACTTATTTTGTGGTCTCATTTTATTTTGGGCAACTACCGACAGCTCACCAAGCTCAAGGATGGACTCACCATTGGAATAGCATTTAATCATGCTGTACTGGACGGTACTTCCACGTGGCACTTCATGACCTCCTGGGCCGAGCTCTGTTGTGGGTCCACCTCCATCTCGGTCCCACCTTTCCTCGAACGCACCAAAGCTCGCAACACCCGAGTCAAGCTCAACCTTTCCCCGCCATCCGACGCACCAGAATCTGCTAAGTCAGCAACCAATGGTGAAGTCATCCCCAGCGTGGACCCACCTCTCCGCGAAAGGCTCTTCAAGTTCTCCGAGTCAGCAATTGACCAAATCAAGTCAAAGGTCAACACTAATCCCCCAGAGGGATCCTCCGCCCCATTCTCAACATTCCAATCGCTCTCCGCACACGTGTGGCTCGCCGTGACACGTGCCCGCCAGCTCAAGCCGG